ACTTGACTTTATACACCACTAGGACATCACACAAATGATAAACACCAGATGACACACAGTGCCACCATGTGGATGAGGATCACGGTGGAGAGGTTCCAGAAACCGCGTTCAGACAATTGGCCACATTGATGGCCTGCCTATATTGCGGCCTCTGGCAAAAGCCAGAGTGGGGCTTCAAATAACAAAAAATTACGTCCTTAGAAGGACATAAGGAATATATTAACAGAATACGTTCCTACCAGCTCTAATAAGGTTCAAACGCTTATAGGTTATTTGGTTATTTTCTCTCATCTTATATAGCAGGAAAAACATGCGACCACTAAAATACACATAAAACGAAAAAGTGAAACATTTTTAAAAAAAATACATCATAAAAAAGAAAGAAATAGAAACACTAGGACAATATTATGCGTGACTACCCAGACTTCACCATCGAATTTCCCTCAGGAAGAAGTAATATACATTTGTCACATTATCTCCCTTTGAAATACCAGGAATTCTGGCCCCTGAATTTCCATAAAATCATTACCAACACTGGAGTGCCTCATAAGCTCTTGGGTAAAAGAATTTCCATAAGTCTGCTCTTCCTCGATGAAGTTTTGATGTGCGCTCGTTCCCTGTTTCTTGCAACCACGGTCGCTTCAATAAAATGGGATTCTAGAGTCTCCTAACTTAGTCCATTTAGAAAAATTGTTCTCTTTTTTCCGTTCCGAATTTTTCTCCCGGTTGATTTCTATATTTTTGGGAATTCTCTTGAAAACTGTGGGCCAACGTGGCAACTGTAACGTTATTTCCATTTTTCCCCTTGTGAATGTGGCCGTTCTTGGCTTTTCTTATTCTTTATGCTGTTGTTTTTCTTGTCCCTATTCTTCTTGTTATTTTCGTGACTAGAAATGAGCAAAAATTAGTTATTGAAGGTTATATAAGAGAAATATACATGTGTTATGTTTCGGCCACATTAAAAGATATAAGATTCCATAACAATTGTACGGATGGGACGAGTTAAGGCAATAGAACAAGAGGCAGATAGTGATACAAGTAAAAGGATAAAATTAGGAGATCGTCGAAAAGAGTATGAGAGATCAAAAGGAAATGACATAGAACGTAGGATATTCATTGTCGCCACCCTGCATCTTGAAAGGGTACGTGATTGACTGATTTACTGGACTTGTAGCCCTTGCAGTCGTAGATCGTGAAGTTGCTTGGTGCGTCACTGTGCGCTGTGAATGTCACAAGGAATGCTTTCTGAACGTGTACCTGGAGATTTGTTTTGTAAATTAAACATTCAGAAAATAGCTAGTGGCTGATTGGCATATAACTGGCGGTATACCTTGTGCAGCAATGTTTTATACCTGTTTATTTGTCGATACTGCCACCTTCATAAGTGACCTGTGATTCTGGTGACAGACAGTAAGCATTGGCACCTCTGACTGGTGTTTTGTGCATTTAATGCACGTACCAGTTGTATTTTGCGGGACATATGTCTGTATGACTTTTCATTGGGAAAGGGGGGGGGGTGGGTGGGGGGGGGGCAGTGATAACAATCTTGTATAGTTGTACAGCTTTAGGACCAAACTATGATTCTTCAGTTCTAACATTTTTTCAGTTCAAACATATGCAAGTGAGAGTTCAACTATTGAAGATATGAAATGAAAGTTAAATGTATTTGAAAATCAATGTCTCAGAAAAATCATGAGCATAAAATGGAATTAATTTTTTTTTAAATGGGTAGATGAGAGAAGTGGCTGGACAAGACACATGATTCTTGACGCTGGAGATCAGAGAAGTGGCTGGACAAGAGACATGATCCTTGGCGCTGGAGGTCAGAGAAGTGGCTGGACAAGAGACATGATTCTTGACGATGGAGATCAGAGAAGTGGCTGGACAAGAGACATGATCCTTGGCGCTGGAGGTCAGAGAAGTGGCTGGACAAGAGACATGATCTTTGACGCTAGAGATCAGAGAAGTGGCTGGACAAGAGACATGATCCTTGACGCTGGAGATGAGAGAAGTGGCTGGACAAAAGACATGATCCTTGACGCTGGAGATAAGAGAAGTGGTTGGACAAGAGACATGATCCTTGACTCTGGAGATGAGAGAAGTGTCTGGACAAGAGACATGATCCTTGGCGCTGGAAGTCAGAGAAGTGGCTGGACAAAAGACATGATCCTTGGCGCTGGAGATGAGAGAAGTGGCTGGACAAGAGACATGATTCTTGACGCTGGAGATGAGAAAAGTAGCTGGACAAGAGACATGATCCTTGACGCTGGAGATCAGAGAAGTGGCTGGACAAGAGACATGATCCTTGACGCTGGAGATGAGAAAAGTAGCTGGACAAGAGACATGATCCTTGACGCTGGAGATCAGAGAAGTGGCTGGACAAAAGACATGATCCTTGACGCTGGAGATGAGAAAAGTAGCTGGACAAGAGACATGATCCTTGACGCTGGAGATCAGAGAAGTGGCTGGACAAGAGACATGATCCTTGACGCTGGAGATGAGAAAATTAGCTGGACAAGAGACATGATCCTTGACGCTGGAGATCAGAGAAGTGGCTGGACAAAAGACATGATCCTTGACGCTGGAGATGAGAAAAGTAGCTGGACAAGAGACATGATCCTTGACGCTGGAGATGAGAAAAGAAGCTGGACAAGAGACATGATCCTTGACGCTGGAGATCAGAGAAGTGGCTGGACAAGAGACATGATCCTTGACGCTGGAGATCAGAGAAGTGGCTGGACAAGAGACATGATTCTTGACGCTAGAGATCAGAGAAGTGGCCTACCAGAGACATGATTCTAGACGCTGGAGATCCGAGAAGTGGCTGGATAAAAGACACGATCCTTGACGCTGGAGATCGCGTGGAATATCCAACCATGACAGTATGCTCTGATCGGCCGTGCGCACGATGCAATGATGACGATGTTGATGATAAGGAAGAGGAGAATGGTGAAGACGAAAATAAAGGTAATGAAATGAAGGAGCGGAGGGGGGGGGGGGGAGCATTGCACACTGCGGATCATTGCACTCTTTGACACAGACATCCGCACACATTCGCATGTCTAGTAAACTCACCCACATAACACTGATTTGAGGCGAATGGGTGGGTCTTAGAAAATGTCGAGTTTACAGTTAGAATGTAGGCACAGGAAGGCTACGTTTTTCACATGAACTCGCCTTCTGTCACCGCTGATGAAATTTAGGTTTTCTTTTGAAATATTATAAAATGGTTTTAATGTTTCAATGGTTTGGTAACTCAAGTTTCTTGTCAGTCTGAGACGCTTAGGTAAGATGGTTTATATTTAATTGTATTGAGTCAACTAGAAAACCCCTTTTATGTCATTGGCTCCTCGGAAATATGGGTCTTGGTTCAATATTGTACAATATTATTGCCACTTGATGGTTGACGTTGTCTGAACTGCCTTAACAAGAATGGATGTCATCAAAATCAGACTTTGTGGATCTGTAACTAATGTTATCTATATTATAAATCATAAACCCTTTCTGTACTTAGTGTAAAAATGTAAAAGTAAAATCAGCAGATGTGAACCAGCGTCATTGGACACGGTTCTAAACCATAAGTGCTCTGTCACCAGTACAGTCAGCTGATAAGAAACTGTCCGCCTGTGTCGCCGTCCGCACGCAACTCTGTAGCTACAACGAAGTTTCACCATTTACACCAGAGTGTTAGTCCTATGTACCCATTTCCTAGATGCTGGGTGTACCCCGGAAACCAGCCAGTTTCTGACACCTCCCGTGGGCTACAGTGAGACGCAGCTAGATGTGAAAGCGAGTATCCTAACGACTGCGCTAACGCGGCCCCCGTACTTCGTGTTTCTCAAAAATGAAGTGCTGACTCCTCCCAAACCGTGACCAATACATGGCTGACATTCTTATATGTAATTATGACTATAATGTTTAATTAAACAGTCACATAGGCTTTCTTTATTAATTGCGACGTTCATTAAACGTATACTTTCGCTGGAATTATGTCCCTTTGATTATTTGTCCTTATTGCTTCCCTTTACAAAGTGAATTTTTTTTATTTTTAAATGTTCGCTGTTATCTTCATTGAACCCACATAGCTTCATGTGTCTTAAATAATACATTTGTCTGTCTCCCAAATGTTAAATACCCATGTTATTACAGGGGACTGACTGACTGACTTTCTACCCCACTAGGACAATACACAAGCGATAAACACCCGATGACACAAAGTGCCACCATGTGGATGAGGATCGCCGTGGAGAGGTCCCAGAAACCGCTTTCAGACATTTGGCCATATTTATGGCCTGTCTATATTGCGGACCCTGGCAAAAGCCAGGGTGGGGCTTCAAATAACATAAAAATGTCATCCTAAAAAGGACGAAACGATAGACACATATACTACAGGGAACGGCTCAGGTACACTTCGGGTCAATGACTAAAGATACGGCAGTGGTGGAGACAAAGATTAAATATAAGACGGTTTATTAAATATAGGGCTTTATTTAGACCCGTAATAACACTAGGCTTGTCCACAGGGCAACGGTTGAGACTAAGATGAGGTAGAGGACGGAAGAATAAGACTTTCTTTAACTATCCCGGGCGAAGCCGGGCAATTAAATCTAGTTTTTTTTTTTTTTTTAATTAAGCCAATTTCGGCTTGGTGGGATTTCGAAACCCAAGCATATATCCCCTGGACTATTTTTTTCTTCTTCTGCGCTTTCTCTTTGAGCACAAGTCAGACGTCACTGCGAGCTCATGCAATCGTATTAGCTGGTATGGTAAACCAGACCTGGTCATATTCTCTTAGACACGAAGAAATACTGGACAAAAGACACAGTAGAAGAAGGGACCCTATCTCTGGGAATATTTATTTTAGTTATTTCATCGCCATCAAGTTTATTGTCACTAGTCATCATCATCATCATCATCACTATCATCATCATCATCCATACTAGTTACAGCTCAGCCTCTTTACGTCACAGATTGTATTAACAACTGCAGTATTATTTCAGCAACTGCAGCACTGCAACCAAGATGGTGACGACGATCGTGACGTCAAAGATGACCTGTGTTGTCGTCACGTTCGTCACATTTGCCTTTCTCGTTCAAGGTGAGAGTTCTCTACGCTTGTCACACTACCAGCCGAATGAGGTGGCTCAAAGTTGCAGCTACACGTTTAGAGTCACGCTTATGTTTTATTTAATAATATGATATGTAGTATTAGTAGTAGCAGCAGCAACAGCAGTTGTTGTTGCGGTGATAGTATAAAGTACCATACAGTGAGAAAGAGGGCGAAAGAGAAAAATAAAGAGAGCAGGCAAGCTAGAGAGAGAGAGCGAATGAGAGAGCGAAAGAGAGCGAGAGAGAGATAAAAGAGATAGATCTAAGGAGAAAAAGAGCCAGAAAGCACGCATTGTCTAGAAAGAGCGAACAAGTGAACAAGAGTCAACAAAAGAAAAGAGGAAGAGAGAGTTCGGAAAGACACAGCTCCAAAAGGAAAAATCCCTAGCAGGTCAACACAAAGGTTGACAAGGGTCAAGGGGCAATATTTGGCATGGAAGAGCGCGCGGACAGCCAACCCGCCTGTAACCAACATTTGCCTTAGAGGACGTGAGACATAGAAACACGCGGGGACAGCTAGCCCGCTTGTAACCAACATTTGCTGTGGGGAACCTGAGACATGGAAACACTCGGGGACAGCTAGCCCGCTTGTAACCAACATTTGCTGTGGGGGACCTGAGACATGGAAACACTCGGGGACAGCTAACCCGCCTGCAACCAACATTTGCTGTGAGGGACCTGAGACATGGAAACACTCGGGGACAGCTAGCCCGCTTGTAACCAACATTTGCTGTGGGGAACCTGAGACATGGAAACACGCGGGGACAGCTAACCCGCTTGTAACCAACATTTGACATGGGGACCTGAGACATGGAAACACTCGGGGACAGCTAACCCGCTTGTAACCAACATTTGCTGTGGGGAACCTGAGACATGGAAACACGCGGGGACAGCTAACCCGCTTGTAACCAACATTTGACATGGGGAACCTGAGACATGGAAACACGTAGAGACAGCCCGCCCACTTGTAACGAACATTTGTTGTGGGGGACCTGAGACTTGGAAACACTCGTTGACAGACACACCAGTTTGTCGTGGAAATACAAGATGACGGCAAACATTCTTAACGCTTTTTAGGCTTAAAGTTAAGTGGTTGATTTTGTATCCTCTTGGTTTTATTGCCATAGTTCGAAACTTCATCGAGAAGGATTTTTTCTGTCTTTCAGAATTGACCTTTGTTCCCAGTTTGACGAAGCCAACAATTGTTGCTAGGTAAAGTCATCAAATGTTACGGTGACCTTCGTGATTTTGAACACATCACACACTGCGCGCCGATTGGTCTATAAAAATGTGTTTAATGTCGCATGCCCGATCGAACATAGAGCTTGGGGAAGAATGGGTAGGTGTAACAGCAAGGTAGGTGAGCCAGGAAATCTATGCGGGAGCCACATGTCATCAGCCATAACAGAATGGGAGTTGTTAGCCTAAAAACACTTGGAGACATACCCAGGAGGAGATCGGAGCAATTATGGTCATTTTCTATGTGCGATGAAGATGATCTGTAACATGAACTATCAGCGATTTACTAGAGAGAGGAAAAACTTCATCCCAAATCGTAACAGCAGTGTCATGCGTCCTTTGAAGTATGCATCAAGCTGAAAACAGAATGCAGACAACAAAACCAAGCAGTTGTGGAAGCAGAGGTGCAGTCCGTGATATGTGAGAAATCTTCTGAGGGCGATGAGATCATCTATCTACACAGCTGTCATTCGAAATGTCAGGAGCTCGAGGACATTTACAGTTCAGGTCAGAGGGAGAACTGTCAAACAAAACTGCAATGCCTTCGCCTTGACGACAAGCAGTTTGACTGTGGGGGTCATGGCGGCAACTAAAGATCGGGTTGCCTTGTTTACTCAAAAGGAAAGACAACACTAATACGTTTGGAATAAATCACGCTTCAGAAGCTGCTGGATCAGAAAAACCTGTCTGAGCTTAGCTCTTAGACCAGCTACCAGTGACATAGAATATGCAGTGATTTAACAAAGCACATTCTGACAAGTGAATCTGCTTGGGGCTATCCTACAAATGATTTTATTGTAATCCAGCAGTTTTCGCAGCATGCTTTGTTCTCAACTGTTTGTTGCTACCTTTCTTTGGAGTTAACCAGTCATGCAGAGAGCGAAATCATGCAGCAAAGGCGACACATGGTCTCTAACATACTATGTGCTCTTTGTGTTATAGAGATATGTAGATATAGAGACAGGAGAGACTTCATCAATACCATACGAGAGACTAAACGCTGTGAGGGTTTCTGTTTCGTGGAAAATGATTTTTACTGAGTAGACTGCATACCCAGGGTATACTAACTGGAGCTGTGAGACAGGAAATCTATGCGGGAGCCACATGTCATCAGCCATAACAGAATGGGAGTTGTTAGCCTAAAAACACTTGGACACATACCCAGGAGGAGATCGGAGCAATTATGGTCATTTTCTGTGTGCGATGAAGATGATCTGTAACATGAACTATCAGCGATTTACTAGAGAGAGGAAAAACTTCATCCCAAATCGTTGCTAGTTTCACTGAAGCAGTGACTGCTAAAATAAGATCAAATAATACAGGGGATGATGAGATTAAAGGAACACATGGACTTGAAGTAAAGAATGAAAATGGAGAATTGTTTACCAATTTAGGTGCAGGAAACCAGTATGTTAAAGCTGGAAACAGGTCAAGTGAATTATGAATTAATCGTGTGTAGAAGTTCTTGGTAAACAAGAACGGAAACAAAAGACGTTGATGACTCCTGGAACTCTTAAAATGACATAAGAAAGGGAAAGCACAAAGGCAGACTTCAACACTAGCAAATTAATGTTGATGTCTCATAAAACTAAACATAGCTAGTATTGTATACATGTTTTACTTATTATTAAACTTTTTTTGTCTACATTTCTGGCAGTATCTGAAGAACCGTCCGTGTGTACCCAGCCTCAACCTTTGCTCAGAAAAATAACTGAAAGGGATGGAGCAGGTAACAGGGAGAAATAAGTTTCATTTTCTTTCTGTATAACTGTTCTGTTGAAAACATCGACATCCTTCAAGATCTAAGTATCGAGGCCAACTGGCTCATAAACAGCAGTCTATTTTGGAGGTTAGGGTATTTTGGCCACGCTAAACGTCGTGATGACCCGAAAAGGACACTGGTGGAGGGTACAGTCGCGGCAAAATGAGGCAGACCTCTGCTACTGTTGATGAAGATACACAGGCTACGAAAGCACACGGGGCAGGAGAGTTGGCTGAAGTGAGACTTTCAGGCTTGCAGTGAAGAGAGCGACGTTCTGTGAAGAACCAGCTGGTTGATGATGATGATTGCAATAACTCTCTGGCATCTAATCATGCAGCCTGCTTAGGTATAATAACAAATACTTGAATACAGCAAGCTTGAACATGAACAAACTTCGAGAAAATAAAGCCGTTGACAAATGTACGTTCATTGCTGTACCCCTTGATCAATGCCCCAGAGGTTTGTTGTCTACGGTAATAGCTGTTGCCAAGTACATTCTACTTATCGTTGTTAGGTCAGGGTATTTTTCATGTTCAGCACATCTCATGATTGCACTTCAGCATCACCCCCCCCCCCCCCCCTTAAAGCAAATATAAACCACACAGCTCAGTAAACAATCGTTCCTCCATTCCATGTTGTGGATTCATTACCCAGGTTTTCGGGTCTGGGGTGGGCGGCTTGATCACGTTCACTCGCTGTCCAGAAACATTCAATTCAGGTATTCCAAGCGCCACAAGAGCAGGCTCTCAATGGATCGAAAACAAGACTAAGCTTTCTAGTTCGCTCAAAGCTCAAATAACCTTTTTATCTTTTCGTGCACTCAACAGATCTAGACACACTTTCATGCTTTCTTCACATGGCATGCTTTAGCTAAACTGCATGTTTGCTCGAGCTGGTATTATATACTTGATTTGTTTAAGCATGCATTATAATTAGTAATTGATGCTGTCCATCCGGATTCTCATACATAATTTATGTTTAGTAGCTGTCTTCATTTCTTTAAAAAAAATTGAGAGAATTTACAAACAATGAGGAAATGGATCGTTACAATAATGATAACTGTTCCATTGAATGCTGCGAGAATGGCAGTGTGTTAGACAGATAGGTAGACAAGCTGACATATACAAAGTACAGGGAGCGGAAACATGGCTAATGATAAGGGAAAAAAAAATATTAATAAAAGAACTGACACAACTGTACTCGGGCATTCTCACACTAGCTCTCTCCCTTCCTCAGTAGTCAACGCAGAGTTCCTATATTAAAGGCGGTAGTCGCCAGTGCGTCTCTAATGTCTTTCCTCCGCATCGCGGTGGTTGACCTCTGCCTCACTTTCCAGAATCTGCACTCCCATCACCGTTCTCTCCAGACTTTTGGGAATGAAAGAGTTAACATTGCCTAGTTATTTTACTCTCTGAGAAGCTTTTTCGCAGATCTATTTCTCATGCATATTCTGATGTTAAACTATATGCCGTTTAGGTACAAATATCTTCATCAGCCAAAGTATCGTGGGCGCATCATACCGATTTGTCTTTGATGCACAAAGCGGCCAAACTGGAGACTATTTTAAAGGGTATTTTCGGTATATTCTCAAGGACGATATCTGGGCCTTGCAGCTCACTAACCATCTGGACCTGGCGCTCATAGCTGTGAGTGGTATGCGTGTGCCATCTTGCTGTGTCAGTGTGCTGTTTCGTGGTGCTGTGTCATTTTGCTGTGCATACGTTGCTGTGTCAGTGTGCTGTTTCGTGGTGCTGTGTCATTTTGCTGTGCATACGTTGCTATGTCAGTGTGCTGTTTCGTGGTGCTGTGTCATTTTGCTGTGCATACGTTGCTGTGTCAGTGTGCTGTTTCATGGTGCTGTGTCATTTTTCTGTGCATATGTTGCTGTGTCAGTGTGCTGTTTCATGGTGCTGTGTCATTTTGCTGTGCATACGTTGCTGTGTCAGTGTGCTGTTTCATGGTGCTGTGTCATTTTTCTGTGCATACGATGCTGTGTCAGTGTGCTGTTTCATGGTGCTGTGTCAGTTTTCTTTGCCACGTTGCTGTGTTAGTGTGATGTGTCATTTTGATGTCTTATATAGCGTGTGCTGAGCCAGGGTTATATGTTATAGTTCTATGTCAATGTGCTGTGTCATTGTGCTGTGTCATAGTGCGTGTGACATGTTGCAGTGTCAGTGCTTTGCTATAGTGTTGTGTTGACTGTCTGATTAGCTCCTCCCACCTCTAGGAGTCACATAACACCACTTGTCACTGGGTCACTACTGTTGACTGTCTGGTTAGCTCCTTTCACCTCTAGGAGTCACATAACACCACTTGTCACTGAGTCACTATCTACTGTTGACTGTCTGCTTAGCTCCACCCACCTCTAGGAGTCACATAACACAACTTGTCACTGAGTCACTATCTACTGTTGACTGTCTGGTTAGCTCCACCCACCTCTAGGAGTCACATCCAATGGCCTTGATGTTCACTTGTTTGAGGCTTGTCATTCATCCACAAAGTATCAGTAAAGAACCCTTTTCCATGCCTTTAGGCGTATGGGGCACATAGGGCTAGACCTATATTTAATACACCAATCGGCACTTGGTGGGTGATATGTTCAGCATCATGCCCGCTACCTTTACTTCCTAGGACTTCATCTGGTACCCACTCAAGGCTAGGTCGACCTTTGAGCCGAGGTCATTTGAAGAAACAAAAGGCCGGATCCGTCAGCAGCCGAATCCACGACCTCCCGATCCACAGGCGAGCATCTAGCCGCCACACAACAGCGGCTCCCGTCATCTTCCACATTCTGCCACAAATAGTTGTCTGTGTCGCAGTGCATTGCAAGTGGACTACCATAACAGTGTGCACATTTCACAGTGTAATGTCGTCGGAAAACCATATATGGTGCACATATCCCAGTGCCATGTCATCAGACAACCATAACATTGTGCACATGTGACAGTACCATGTCATCAGACAGCTATAACATGGTGCACATGTCACAGTACTATGTCATCAGACAGCTATAACAGTGTGTACATGTCACAGTGTAATGTCATCGGACAACCATATATGGTGCACATGTCACGGTACCATGTCATAAGACAACCATATATGGTGCACGTGTCATGGTGCCATGTCATCAGACAACCATACCACTGTGCACATGTGGCACATGTCACGGTGCTATGTCATCAGACAACCCTATCATTGTGCACACGTCACATGTGTTTTCTCAATGACCCTCAACGTTTGTACAACCAAGTTCACATTATTTACCACTGTCAGCTGGGAAACTCTCAAGGCCTACTGTTGAGTGTTAACATCTACTGTACACAAGCAAACGTCAATAACAATCAACCACTGGTATGTACAATTGATTTTGCAGTCATTTTTATTAGTTATCGTTGTCATCATCATCATTATTATCGCCGTTATCACCATACTATCATCATTATCACCATCATCCTTATCATACTATCATTATTACCATCACCCGTGTCGAGTTGATTGGCAAACTCCGTCTTTCCAGACAATAGTGTTATATTACGCTATGAGAAGGCATGGGACTCACAGCCAATGGCGATGCACTGCCCAGACTAGCAAGACCTGCCTGTGTCAAGAAAAGTCTTCCACAATGATAGCATGACATATTAGGACTATTGATGTCAACATTTCTGTTTTATACATTTATTCTCAGATCCGCAGCTCTCATGTTTTCTTTAATCATTTCTTCCTTCACTCTCATTCCTTTCCCGATATGCCCTCTCCACACTACACGGTCCATGACATTTTGTTTCTATGAGTCTTTAGCATACGATCATTATCACCATCATCCTTCTCATACGATCATTATCACCAACACCCTCATCATACGATCGTTATCACCATCACCCTTATCATACCATCATTATCACCATCACCCTTATCATACGACCAATATCCCTATCATTCTTTTCATATGGTCATTATCACCATCACCCTTATCATAGAATCATTATCACCAACACTTACATCATACGATCGTTATTACCATCAACCTTATCATACCATCATTATCATAATCACCATTATCATTATCATCATCATCCTTATCATACGATCAATACCACCATTATTCTTATCAAACGATCATTATCACCATCATCCTTATCACACGATCATTATCACCATTACCCTTATCACACGGTTATTATCATCATCACCCTTATCATATAATTATTATCACCAACACCCTTATCATATGATCATTATCACCATCACCCTTATCATACGATCATTATCACCATCACCATTATCATACGATCATTATCACCATCACCCTTATCATACGATTATTATCACCAACACCCTCATCAAACGATCATTATCACCATCCCCCTTATCATACGATCATTATCACCATCATCCTTATCATGCGATCATTCTCACTATTACCCTTATCATACGACCATTATCACCATTGTCCTTATCATGGGTCATTATCACCATCACTCTTATCATACGACCATGATCACCATCATCCTTTTTATACGGTCATTATCACCATCACCCTTATCATACGATCATTATCACCATCACCCTTATCATACGATCATAATCACCATCACCCTTATCATACGATCATTATCACCATCACTCCTATCATACGATCATTATCACCATTACCCTTATCTTACGACCATTATTACCATCATCCTTATCATACGGTCATTATCACCATCACCCTTATCATACGACCATGATCACCATCATCCTTATCAGACGGTCATTATCACCATTACCCTTATCATACGATCATTATCACCTTTATCCTTGTCATACGATCATTATCATCATTAAAGTAAACTTTAGTATAGTAAAGCAAAAAAATTAAACAGTAAGTGGGTGATCTTGACCAGAAATTTAGTCTCGCTCTCAAAATTTCACAGGTAGGGGGGGGGTGAGGGGGTCTCCGTGGCGAAGTGGTCAAGCCATTTGCC